AGTGGTAAATCCACGTACGGAGCGTCACTCCATTTTAACCTCGTCTAGAGGTTTTTCATCGGCTGGAAAAGAAACCACTTAGTGCAGTTAAGAAAACAGTTAGCGTTTAAATAAAATAGTTAGCTCTATTTATATACTCTCAGGTAGTTAAAATCAGATGAACAGTCAGTTTGAAATCAGATAAAGGGTTAGTTTGGAGTAGAAAATAGATAGCATTTTATTCAGAAAAAAATAGTATTTTAATAAGAAAATATGTAACAATAAATTCGAAAACGCCTAGCTATTTAAATGAAATAAGAGAGGAAACAATTTGAAAACACTTGACAATTTGTAGAAACAACATGGTATTTTTCACACACACAAAATATTTTAAATTTAAATACAAAAAATAAATTTCAAACGATGTCAATTACCGAAACGCCATCCGTTGGTGAATTTTCGTAGTGTGAATTGGCTATATTGTCACTTTGTCGCAGTGACAAGTGTCGAACAATTTCGCGCGCTGTCATTGAACAAATCAGTGTCATCAAACAAACATTATTCGCTTCCAACTTGTTCGTATGCCGATTGATTTATTCATTTAGTTTAAGATTTGTGTAAAAAAGTAAAACGACTTTTGAATACCGAAAAAAGAAAAAGAAAGAGATTTGAAAGTAACGTGGGCAGCGCCTGTCCGAGCTCCTCCGGCGCCCCGGTGCAAAAAATCAAAATGCGCCATTTCAATTTTTTCATGAATTTTTGAAGTAAAAAAACTGGATTTTGAAGTTTATTTGTAGTTTATTTATAGAAACGAATAATAATAAATTCACATTATGTTTTCATATATGATAAAAATAATGAGCTGGAAAATCTAATCTATAGGAAATGAGATTATATATCGTTTTTTGGCAAAATATAAAACTTTAATTAATCTAATGGTTGTTTTCTGGCTTTTTTCGACGCAAACTCGTCAATAACATCGTCATATTCAATCGCATTTGCAGTTTCATGCTCAATGGAAATTATTGCTAAATCGTCCAACCTGTCTTGAGTCATTGAATTTCGCAAATAATTTTTAACGATTTTGAGCTTTGAAAACGAACGCTCGCCAGTTGCAATAGAGACCGGACTCGTGAGTAGAATACGATATGCAATGACAGAATTGGGAACGGAATTTTCCATGTTCAACTTCATAATTGAATTTAAAATGTGAATGACGTGGACAACGTTCTCGTGCTGTGTCAAAGTTACAACAAAGCTGAGTTCACAAAACAGGTCATCACCATCAATGTCCGATTGTCCGTCACATGTAAGAGCATGTTCAAGCTCCTTGGAAGATTTCAACAAATTCCCATTTTGTTTATTCTCTTCAAACCGTTCAAAATATGACAAATCCCGCTCATTACAAGCGCATAGCACAGTCGTACATGGTCGCGAAGTGAAAAATATTTTTGTGTTCGTTTGTGTTTCAATTTAATTCTTTGCGTTCCAAATCAAAAATTAAAACACAATGGCGAAAAAGCTTATCAAAAAACGAAAACCGATCACGAATCGTAGAATGAGTAAGTATTTCGCGGTAATTCGGTATAATTTCTAGCAAAAAATTGTCGGGCTCATGTGAACAAAAAAAGACAACAAAAACTCCTTCAAAATTCATATAAAAGCGAATGAAAGTGATATTTTTAGATAGTTTCTACTTTAATATTCATCTAAGTTTTTTTTTCTTCCAATTTCGTTTTTTCGCGTTTTTGCGTCACACCTTTCATTTGACCCGACGAATCCGACTAAAACTCCATACTGCGCGATACTGCGCAATTGCCTTTCTAACTTGTGACTTGAATTGCCGTATCCACGTCCAGCCATGTCGCTAATTAGCATCATCGCTATCTCTTCACATTTTAAAATGTTCATACCGATATGGACCAAGATCGACCAAGATAAACTGACTATTATGCCACATAAAGATACTATCACTAATGCACATGCGAATATATCGGATTTTGATACTATTTTAGTGACTCGAGCAAAACGCCGAGTAATTCCGGACGGCATGACAGTTGAAGAATTTTTTCGTTTGTTATACGTCGATGTCAGAATTAGACGGCACGCTGACGTTGAACGGATGGCTCTATTACAACAACGACTACCACCACCGCGCAGACACTCGATTGACGGCAGAGCCCAAAGGCCAAGAGCATTGGTACAGCGACGTCGGATTTCAACTGGTGCTGGTGCACCGCAAGAAGTTGAAATCGATCATGATTTCCGAGCAATGCTTGATGCTCGTATCGCTCAAGGACAGATACCGGTTGACGAAAATAATGAAAATGTTAATGCTGTAGTTGATCCACCTGAAATCGAAAATGTCATAGCAGATGCACCCGAAATCGCAACGAGATCTAATACAGTCATTCATGTCGAACCTCAAAAAGAAGCAAACTGTCGCTCAAAAGTGCCATTTACAACGAAGGGAAGAAGACCGAAACGAAACACGGCACAACAAAATGATGACAGCCACTTGAATTTGGATCCAGTTGATCTGAGAGGTAATTCGAATGAATTAGAAATACTCTCGCCTAAAACGAGATATTCAATCCATCGAAATTTGATTGTATGCTCAAAAATTTATGTCATGTTTCGTTTGAAACATTGACAAAAATAGATAAGTAATCATTTTATATGATTCCAATGAGCAACATTTTTAATTTTCTATTCAACCTTCATGTATGCACAAAGCAATCGAAATTGTTGACAGTAACTTACGCTTTGTATCATCGGGTCTGCGGATTTAATACAAATGTCAAAATATTTAATGAATTTTATTTTTTTGGTATTCTAGGAAATCGTGACAACGGTCTTGTTGCTGAAAATGATGGGCCTACACGTGATATTGAACAAGGCAATGCAATGGCTGTAGATAGTCAAGACTATCAGACCATCGATACCGTCCCAGTCAACTCGACTGCTGAAAACTGTTTGGGCGCACACACACCACATACGGATTTGGGTCCAGTTGATCCGAGAGGTAATTCGAATGAATTAGAAATGATCTCGCCCAAAACGAGATATTCAATTCATCGAAATTTGATTGTATGCTCAACAATTTATGTCATGTTTCGTTTGAAACATTGACAAAAATAGATAAGTAATCATTTTATATGATTCCAATGGGCAACATTTTTAATTTTCTATTCAACCTTCATGTATGCACAAAGCAATCGAAATTGTTGACAGTAACTTACGCGAACTTACGCTTTGTTTTATCTAAGATGGAACTAGAGAATTTACACAATAGTATGCAACCGGAATTGAGGTGGATACGTTGAGTACATTTACCATAAAAACAAGAACTTTACTGGCCACTGGAAACTCTTTGTATTCAGTTGATCTGAGATCCGTTTTTATTCATGTAGCCATGAAACATCTTGTTTTATCGACATCTCGTCGAATGCAAGCGAAACTATCATTTTCTTATTATCTTCTTCCATACTCTGAGCTAAACTTTTCAGTCTTTCCATAGCTTCTTGTAGAATACCCGGCGCGCCATTTTTGTTGCTTTGTGAGTACCACTTTGTTAGAGTGGATGGATTTGCTACGTGCCATTGAATTTTTCTCGTAAATATCTATAGGCTTTTAAAAAAATATCTTTAGACAGGGCAAATTTACGAATAGGTACACTGTACTGGCGATTATCTCTATTGTGGTTTCTTCGTCCGCGAAAACAATCCATTATTTGCTTTGCATCGTCCTAAAATTGACGGAAGTGGCGAGATTTAATATATGTCATGGTTTCTTTCTGAGCATTTGATTACGCTTAAATGTTGTTCTCCTGAGAGAAACATGTCCAGTTGTTCTTTCATTCACCTATTTTCTTCTTGTGATTCATATAATAATACTGATCAAGGCATTGCTTCCAGAATTGTTACCACAGTTCAGGCTGAACCGAGCTGAACAAATGCATTTGGACAATCAAGATGTTCAGCACAGCGACACTGTATCACAAACGAGTGGGGAATTTTCGATATAAGCAATGGTCCAGTGTTCTTCAGTTTGTAATTCAGGGCCAATTTAGATTGTACGATTCAATTGAATTTCTTCAATCTCCTCAAATCGGTCCACATGTTGATCATGAGCTCTGTCACTTGTTCCTTCTTGTGGTGTATCATCTATGTCCAACGATGTCTTCGTTGATGTTCCATTCGAAGAGATGGTCAAAATATTGAGTTTGTCTTCGCAATTCGCGAATATAGAAGAAGTGATTTCATTGTAAAATAGAAGTTTTCGAATTGAGGACTTAAACTCTCGTAGATTCGGATTTTCAAAGTAATTTGAATAGAAATTGAATTTGCACAGATTTTTTTTATTCTCACCATAGAAAAAAAAACAGGAGTCCAATATGAAATGCAATATAAATATTAGGGTGGTGCGATTTTTAATATCGTACAAAATCAAAAACGGCGGGTACGCGATCGATTTGGCACCTCGAAAGAAGAAACTTTTGTTCTGGGACATATGCCGAAAAGTTGATTCCCACAGGGCCCACTCAATTTTTATGTGGTTCATTTTTTATGATTTTTCCCGGTGGGCACCAGTTTCTGTATATAACCAATGCATTTGGTGAGAGAAAATATTTTAAAGCGCCATCTGCAAAATGTCACCGATTTGACAAACTAGAGCGGTCGAACACATGAAACTGACAGCGGTTTGACACCTGCTGTTATTCATTCTTCTGGTTCATGTGCTCAGTGCGAACAGTTCGTAAATCGGTGAGTTTTTGTAAATTCTTATGATTTTCCACAATAATCGGTTTGAAAATCACATTTTTTTTTTCATTAATTGTTGGTTCATTTAAAACCTTTCGTGAATCAATTCAATATTTAGTGAATATTTCTCTCTTTTCAACATTTTTTCAATCATTTTTCCATTGTTTAATTTTTTCCATCGATTCGTAACACAGCATCAAAATCACATTTTGTTCGAATAATTTTCGGTTTATTTAAAACTTTTCGTGAATAAATCCAATATTTAGTGAATATATTTCCGTTTTCTACATTTTTGCAGTCATTTTTCCAGTGTTGAATTTTTTTTCCATCGAATTGCAACACAACATCAAATCATTGTGCGACATAATGCCACCAACAACCAGACGTCAAAACGGCATAACAAAGCCGATTGCGACACCAGTAACAACAACAGCAACATCATCTCGGCCGCCAAAATCGAAAAAAAAGGTGACGAAAAAAGCACCGAAAAAAGTAAATACGACGGTTTCGTTGTCACGTGGTCGAACACCAGAATCAGATTATTCTGATCGCTCGCGTTCACGTTCACGTTCTCGGTCGCATCGTCACCGCCGCCACCGTGATTCCCGTTCACGTTCTCGCCACTATCGTCGGCATGGCCATGGTCATAGCCACCATCGTCGTTACCGCCGGTATTCAACTTCTTCAAGCGATGCATATTCATCGTCATCGTTGTCATCACCACAACGCACGACATCGGCAAACCGTTCCGCTCGCAAGCAATCAATTGCAGGTACTTGAATTTATTTTTCAATGATGTTTTAGTTGTTATTTTTTTGTTCGTTTGCTCAGCATTTGTTCAAAACTGTTTTTTTTCCAAATCATATATTTTCGTGTAGCACCTCGTTCAATGCGCAATTCCGATGTTACACCAACATGGAAGCCGGCAAAACGTGCCAATCGTAGTAAATCGTTGGCAGGTAATTATTATTAATTAAGTTGAATAACAAACTTTTCCTTTGTTTGCATATGTCTAATTCCTTTCGTGCCATTCTTTTTTATTCAGCACGAAATTTGGTTCCTGATTTCGATGACGGTTCTGTGACTCAGTCAGCAAAACGTACAGCTCGCAAGCAATCAATCGCAGGTACTTTAAATTATATTTCAATGATGTTTTAGCTATTTTTTTTGTACGTTTGCTCAGAATTTTTTCAAAAAAAAATGTTAAATCATTTTTTTCTGTATAGCATCTCCTTCAACGGGCGATTTCGATGTTCCACCAGCCTGGCAGCCGAAAAAACGCAACAATCGTACCCAATCAGTTGCAGGTGATTGTTATCACTATTGTTCATCCATAAACTTTTCCGTTTTTTGCAATGCCTAATTATTTTTGAACAATTTTTCCACTTTAGCACGCAGTTTGGCTCCTGATTTGGATGATGGCTCCACGGGTCAACCGGCAAAACGTCGTAACCGTGCACAATGGACAATGGATTGTTCTTGCGATCATCACAACTGCGACGATGATAAACCAAACTTGCCGTGGCTGCCGAAACGCGTTCGATTCAGTGGAAACGACTTCGATAGTGCTAGGCAAATCCCATCTTTGTTGCCGTTGAATTCCAAAGTTGCAAACCGACCGACATCAACCGTTACCAGTGCCACACAATCGGATAATAATGATGCCGAAACATTGCAAGCTCAAATTCGTTTGAATACTCAGATGATTTCGACGATTGAAAATTTACGGAAGGACATCGACCAGGTGAACAAAGAACGGGACTTTTTCAAAATGCAATTCAGCCAAATGAAAGATCAACTGGCGCTTTCAAAGAAAAAGTTCCAACGTGGCCAAGAAAACATCGACCCCAATGCGTTCGATGTACCATCAGTTGATGCTGCAGGTCGCGAGGATGCCACAGAGCAGCCGAGTGATGCCAATCAACCACATTAAATGATGCCAATAATCCACATCCTCTGATTGCGAAGAAGCCGCTATAAGCGAAGACGCCGCAGATCTGACTACGCAAGATTTTTTTACATTTTTTTCGCTCAAAGTTTTTTTCATATTCAGTTAAATATCGTCTCATTTTTATTATATTTTTTGATAAACAAACAAACCAAAAAACAAACAAACATATATTTACATTAGCTAGTAAAAGAATAAACAAATAAACATGTATGTACCTGAATGTAACGAAAAATGCATCGCAATCGATCTCAATCGGTCTCAATACTTGACTTCAATAAAATTCAGATTGGAATAAAATAAAATTACACATGTTTAAAATTCTTTTTTTATCAAAGTAATTTATTCTTAATATCAAAGCGCTGTTCAAAGCAATTTATTGTCCATATTCATGTAATAATTTTCTATAAAAATGACGCATTGGATTATCATGTGTCTTCAGAGTGAAGCATTTAGCAATGTGCACAGACTTCATTTCCATGTATAATTCTATGATTTTTTTTATGAATACATATTTGTGATTTATATCGGAGGAATGGTGATTTTCGAAATTCGATGATGGGTACAGTGCATCAAATTGAAATTTTCGTAAAATTTGGATTACAACGGCCTGGTATGATGACGATTTTTCCTCACAACTTTTGACATATTCGTCGACAATCTTACAAATGTCGAAGGTGCTTCGACAGGGCTGCATGATGTTACTTCGTCTAGCTTTAAAACGAATGAAGGAATCATCTAGTAGTTCATTTTGAATGAATGAAGCAACGCAGTCTGCACATTTTACTAATTTTCGCTTTCCGCCGATCGCCCATTCCACACGAAATCAATCAAAATTCACATGGGTTCTCAGAATTGGCTGAAACTTTGCACGAATGTTGGGTTTGGCAAAAAACTCAGAACGCCAAAATTTCAGCCCGGTATCTATTACTGGTGGGTCCGTACAGATGGTCGAAAAA